AGACGGTAAGCGTTAGGTAGATGACCCCTAAATAAGAATAAACTTCTTACCATTTAAATGAATAAGAATTTACCTGAGAATGTTTTCTTGATGATTAGGAAGGCTTCCAACTAATATTTCCTGCAACGAAAGAGATTGTTCTTTACCGAACGCCCACAAACAAACAATTCATTCACAATGAAATCAATAAATCATTCATCAAAATTCGAGATCGTTTTCCCATTGCGTAGTTCATTGTACAATCTAACTGTACAGCGATATGGGCAAAGATTTTTCTATCAGGAGCATCAAAAATAATAAAAAATGCTTATAGTAAAACTTACTATAGAGATTGAATTTGATAGCAAAAGTCATTGAATTTGGGGTATAAAGCAACATAAATCATGAATTACATCAAGAAACATGCACCAACAAACATGTTATGTTATCTACCCTTACGTAGTTTGAAGTTCAATGGAATTTTTACAATAACATCATCTTTTGGAAGTGAAATCCATATGAAGCCATTGATATGGCACATGCTATGTACATAGAGCCATTGATCCGAAACCATCAAATCAATCACAATTTGGAGCAATCACTCGTAAAAGTTACATAAGCCACTAACCAGTCATCTGTAAAATTCACAAAAAGCAGGAAAAAAATGATATTACTGTTTGGCTAGTCCTTACAAACAATGAACTTGAAAGTAGGATTTAAATCAAAATATTTTGTCATGAAAGCTCATATATATATATATCAAACGAATATCTTCAAATATGGTATTCTAGATCATGTTGAACAATATTCTAGATTTTTGTTGCTATATGTGTCTTACCTTTTAGAGTAATGAAAAAAAATGATGGAACCTGGACAGTAATGAAAGAAAGACGATAATGAAACCTGTAAATTGAAATCAATTGTGAAAATCCAAATAAATGAAAATAAACTACATCGAGTAGTATGTATTTGATGCAAACTGATACAAATGGAAAACAAATTATCTTGACACGGATAGAAGCATGTTCGTGTACTAAAAATGGTGAATCGCAAACCTTCTTTGAGTTGATCACATCTCCATCTTGATAATGCTTCAAATCCTAAATCAACCCAACAAAGAAAGATAAGATTAAGGTTTAAAAGGTAGTATAGATATCCATTAAACTGTTTATAGAAAGAATAAGCAATAAAAATGATAAATTGTAACAAGAGGGGAGTAGGAGGACATTTACATAAACCATATTGTTAGCCATTTGACCAATGTTTGTTGAAATTCTCATGATGATCATTGTGTAAGATGCTTAGATTTTGTCCACACCGCTGAATGGTAGTTTGTAGGCCCTGCTAAAAAAAACTCACCCAGATATCTGAAAATTCAAAAAGAAGTAATCAAAATAAATACCAAGATACATACAGGCATACAAACCCATAGAAAACTCAAGAACCCTAACCCACATAAATGAAGATTTCGAAAGGAATCAACACACGTAAACAATTAATTCGAATGTTAACCCATAGAAAACTCATGAACTCTAACCAACCAAATGAAGATGGAAACAAAAAAAATTACCTTGATTGGAACCCTAGCCGTATTTGAAGCATGGATTGGGGGTGAATCGATGTATTGAATCGTCACTCCAGGAGGGAATCAATGAGAGTGTGTGGAGCGATGAAATCATAATATGCAAAACCTCAATCGTAATCTACAAAACCGATGAAATCATGATTTCATCTCAATCGTAATCCCCACGATTTCATCTCAATCGTAATCTGCAAAACTCTCAATCGTAATATGCAAAACCGATGTAATCATGATTTCATCTCAATTGTAATCNGTAATCCCCACGATTTCATCTCAATCGTAATCTGCAAAACTCTCAATCGTAATATGCAAAACCGATGTAATCATGATTTCATCTCAATTGTAATCCCCACGATTTCATCTCAATCGTAATCCCGATGAAATCGTTAAGAAGTTGGTGGTTTAAGGTTAGGATAGAGTTTTGATTTGAACGGATGGCTTTGATAACTTGTACTATTAGTAATAGAGGCTGTTTTTAAGTAATTTGACATTAATTGATAATACTGTATGCTTAAAATGTTATTTTTAAGAATTTTTAAAAATTTCAACCAAATGCATTATAAGATAACTAGAAGCGTACTCGCGCAATGCAGCGAGATAAATCATGATTTTAATATTTCATTTTATTTTTTATCTCAGTAGATGTTATAATATGGCTTTATGTGATTTTGAGAAAGCGATGATATTTTTATTTTTGAATAAAATATATGTTTGAAGATATCATAAAATATTGACAAAAATATATCGATATTAGTATCAAATTAACTATTTGAAATTACTCATTTTTTTGTGTAATTTTTAATTCAATTTTTTTATAATTTAATTTATG